GGGCTTCAGCTCAACTGAGGGGGGTGCCGGGATGGCTCTGCCCGGGAAGGGAGGTTGGGGCGGGGGGGTGCGCCAGTTCTCTGGTTCCGGGGGGTGCATGGGGCGGGCAGTGTGCGCCAGTTCTCTGGTTCTGGAGGGTTGGGGGTGCGCCAATTTTCCGGCTCTGGTGAGGGGGGGGGCTCCAATACGTTCTCCGTTTCGGGAAGAGTGGGGGGGGACGGGGGGCGGGTGCGCCAGTTCTCCGCTTGCGCCGGGGGAGGGGGGCTGGAACACATGAAAATTCGCAGACTCGACTTCAGCTCAGCTGGTGGGTGAGTGCCGGAGCGGCTCTGCCGGGGAAAGGGGGTCGGGGACGCCGAGCGATCGCTCCAGGATGCCCGAGGTGCAACACGGACGAAGAGGCCGCCAAGACGGCCCAAGAGCCCTCGAAGAGGCCTTACAATACGGTGAAGGCGTTGGATGAGGAACCACTGGACAAGGAATCCAGGGTCTGGAAGCCCGCGGAACTCCAATCGGGGAGTGGCCATAGGGTATCACCGCCGCCCTCATTGGATAAGAAATCCTCCTGGGTCTGAAGCCTCCTAGGCACATTCCTTAAAGAACGCCCCCACAATGTATATATAACCCTATACGAAGCCAAAATCGTAATTTTGCCTTTGGTTTTTCAAAGATGTTAGTCTTTCTCGGCATCGGCTTTCCGAAGCTACAGGACGGCCCAACAGGTCTCCAAGACCGCCCCCATACGGCCCAATAGGCTCCCCAGAGAGCTCCACTCCACAGTCCACGGCGTGCCCACGACGGCCCCAGAGGGCCCAAAGACGATCTCAAGACGAGTCCAAGAAGAAGCGCCAGAATCGCCAATTCGAGCCTCCCGCACCAGACGCTCTGCAGAGGCTCTCAAGACGCCCCAAGACGTCCCAAGAGGCGTCCAAGAAGCTCGAAGAGGCTCACAGAGGCCCCCCAAAGACCTCACAAAAGCCCCAAAGAGACCCTGAAGAGGCCCTAGAACTGACCCTAAGAGGCCTCAAGAGGGCCCCAAGAGGCCAACATCGTAAACCCCAACAGCCCTTTGGGCGTGAGTGGTTTAGAGGGGGGGGCGGCGGCGGGCGCGCCCGCTGCCCCCCTCCGGGGAGGGCGCTGCCGCCCGGGCGCGGCGCTCTGCCTGCAGTGGGGGCCCACGCCAAGAAACCAAGGGCGCCCTCGTCCTCCTCCTCCTCCTCCTCCTCCTCCTCCTCCTCCTGCTCCTCCCCCTCCTCCTCCTCCTTCCCCCCCGTCGTAAAGACATTCATCACTGCTCCTCATGGATGCACGCCCCCTCGCCCCACTGGCCGGCGTCCGACCCGGCACCATGCCGACTCCATGCGGGCCCGCCCCCCCCACCATCCCTGTCAAAAAAAAAAAACTCGCCGCGGAGATCCCCACGTGTGCACTTCATGATGATAGCAGACTTCGGTAGAAGACGTTGTCCTTTTCAATATCTGATTGTCAGCGAATCCACGTGGAAAACGAGGCCAAAAGAGACGCCGACGACTACGACGACTTCAAATAGTTGCTTCCTCCTCCTCCTCCTCCTCCTCCTTGTCCTCCTCCTCTTTCTCCTCCTTTCCCGATGAACACCTGTCAGGAAAATCCATCCGTGAAGACGAGAACGGGCGCGTGCAATACCCCCTGGCGCCCCCCCTTGGGAGTGCTGAAACCCGCGCCTCGCCTGTGACATCCTCGGAACCTGCTCCGAAAGAGGAGGATGTTGAGCACCCAAGCAGGCAAACCGCCTGAGACATCCCCCCAATCTGGGCGCGAACGGGCCTGTGCAATACCCCCTGGCGTCCCTCCTTGGGAATGCTGAAACCAGCGCCTCGCCTGTGACATTCTCGGAACCTGCTCCGAAAGAGGAGAATGTTGAGCACCCAAGCAGGCAAACCGCCTGAGACATCCCCCCAATCTGGGCGCGAACTGGCCCGTGCAATACTACCCCCTGGCGCCCCCCCTTGGGAGTGCTGAAACCAACGACTCGCCTGAGACCATCATCACGACGTGCGTTTGTGTCTGAGCGCGAAGTGGTGTGGCTAAGTCTGAGTGGGAAAGAGCGAGGCAGAGTATGAGTGAGTCTTAGTATGAGTGAGTTCAGGTGTGAGTGAGTCCGAGTATGAGTCTGAGTGGGTGTAAGTGTGAATGTGAGTGTGAGTGGCCTAAGTATGATTAACCTTGAATGCGAGGAGCGACTCGAAGTGCGAGTGAGTATATAAATATATATATATATATATATGGGTGATTCCGAGAATGAGAAACCTGAGCACCAGTACATAATCTCAGAGCGAGCGCATGTGAGTATGAGTGAGTCTGAACATGAGTGAGTCTACATGTGAGTGAATCAGAAAAGAATGATGACCTGAGGGTGGGAGGCGTGTCCCTTCCTTCCTTCCCATTCCTTCCTTTGTACCGCGCGGTCTAATTAATAACGATAACCCCATCTGAGGATGTGGGGAACAATACAAACCGCACTCTGCCTCCACGTGTGCAGCATGCGCGGCCAACCCCATGCGCCCCCCCCCCCACCCCCAAGAATCCCTGTCCAAAAAACAATGCAACGTACAAGTTGGGGCAAAGTCTTGAGTCATGTTCGAGAAGTCCGCGAGCATGTTGTATTGTTTTTGCCAGGGACGGCGGGGGTGTCAGCATATTCCCTGCTGCGCGCAGGGCTACCATGCCTGACACCTGAAAACAATACAACAAACACCTCGCGGCTAAATATACATCATGCGCGGCCATCCCGCAATTACTGTCAAGTGGTTTTTGACAGGGACGGCGGGGGTGGTGGCGCGTGGCCTGCTGTGTGCAGGCCCAGCAGATACAATGATGGGCACTGGTGTTCGACAAGGATGGCGAGGGCCGACATGTTTTCCGATGTGTGTTGTCACGTGCGCAGGCGCACCTGGCGCACTCTGCACGTGCCCTGAACGTGGCGCACCTGGCGCGGCTGGAATGTGCGGCACACCTGGCGCACTCGAAGCACGTGGCGCATCTGGCGCACCAGGCGTGCCTGGCACGCTCGGGCACCAGGGGTGCCTGGCGCGCGTGGCGTCCCTGGCACGCGTGGCGCGCCTCGCCCAAGCGTCGCGCACTAGGGGTCGGCTTTGGTTCCCGGTAGCTGTTCATCCAAAGACGACCGCCGAACATGCTCGGGCTCGGGTGTTACGTATGTGTAGGGGGGGCGGGTGGGAGTGAGCTTGACGACTTGCGGGCGGGTGGGTAGCTTGATCACTGTTCCTTATTCGTATACACACACACACACCCCAGGCGACCGGGGGCCAACCAAGCACCATGCCGACACCGTGCCCGCCCCCCCCGACAGCCCCGTCAAACAACGATAGAAACCGCACCCTGCCTCCACAGTTAGAGCATGCGCGGCCGAGCCGAGGCGCCCCCCCCCGCAATCCCTATCAAAAATCGATGCAAAGCACACTTTGGGGACAAGTCTTGAGTCATGTTCGCGAGGCCCGCGAGCACTTCGTGCTTCTTTTGACAAGGGCGGCGGGGGTGTCAGCATATCCCCTGCTGTGCGCAGGGCTACCATCCCTGACAAAAAAATACAACATGCACCTCGCGGCTATATCTGGATCATACGCGGCCATCACTGTCAAGTGGTTTTGACAGGGACGGCGGGTGTGGAGGCGCGTGACCTGCTGTGTGCAGGCCCAGCAGATACAATGATTGGCACTGGTGTTCGACATGGATGGCTGTGGCCGCCGTGTTTCCCGATGTGTGTTGTCACGTGCGCAGGCGCACCTGGCGCACTCTGCACGTGCCCTGAACGTGGCGCACCTGGCGCGGCTGGAATGTGCGGCACACCTGGCGCACTCGAAGCACGTGGCGCATCTGGCGCACCAGGCGTGCCTGGCACGCTCGGGCACCAGGGGTGCCTGGTGCGCGTGGCGTCCCTGGCACGCGTGGCGCGCCTCGCCCAAGCGTCGCGCACTAGGGGTCGGCTTTGGTTCCCAGTAGCTGTCCATCCAAAGACGACCGCCGAACATGCTCGGGCTCGGGTGTTACGTATGTGTAGGGAGGGCGGGTGGGAGTAAGCTTGACGACTTGCGGGCGGGTGGGTAGCTTGATCACTGTTCCTTATTCGTATACACACACACCCCAGGCGACCGGGGGCCAACCAAGCACCATGCCGACACCATGCCCCCCCCCCCAACAGCCCCGTCAAACAACGATAGAAACCGCACCCTGCCTCCACAGTTAGAGCATGCGCGGCCGAGCCGAGGCGCCCCCCCCGCCATCCCTATCAAAAATCAATGCAAAGCACACTTTGGGGACAAGTCTTGAGTCATGTTCGCGAGGCCCGCGAGCACTTCGTGCTTCTTTTGGCAAGGGCGGCGGGGGTGTCAGCATATCCCCTGCTGTGCGCAGGGCTACCATCCCTGACAAAAAAATACAACATGCACCTCGCGGCTATATCTGGATCATACGCGGCCATCACTGTCAAGTGGTTTTGACAGGGACGGCGGGGGTGGTGGCGCGTGGCCTGCTGTGTGCAGGCCCAGCAGATACAATGATTGGCACTGGTGTTCGACATGGATGGCTGTGGCCGCCGTGTTTCCCGATGTGTGTTGTCACGTGCGCAGGCGCACCTGGCGCACTCTGCACGTGCCCTGAACGTGGCGCACCTGGCGCGGCTAGAATGTGCGGCACACCTGGCGCACTCGAAGCACGTGGCGCATCTGGCGCACCAGGCGTGCCTGGCACGCTCGGGCACCAGGGGTGCATGGCGCGCGTGGCGTCCCTGGCACGCGTGGCGCGCCTCGCCCAAGCGTTGCGCACTAGGGGTCGGCTTTGGTTCCCAGTAGCTGTCCATCCAAAGACGACCGCCGAACCTGCTCGGGCTCGGGTGTTACGTATGTGTAGGGAGGGCGGGTGGGAGTGAGCTTGACGACTTGCGGGCGGGTGGGTAGCTTGATCACTGTTCCTTATTCGTATACACACACACCCCAGGCGACCGGGGGCCAACCAAGCACCATGCCGACACCGTGCCCACCCCCCCCAACAGCCCCGTCAAACAACGATAGAAACCGCACCCTGCCTCCACAGTTAGAGCATGCGCGGCCGAGCCGAGGCGCCCCCCCCCGCCATCCCTATCAAACATCAATGCAAAGCACACGTTGGGGACAAGTCTTGAGTCATGTTCGCGAGGCCCGCGAGCACTTCGTGCTGTTTTTGACAAGGGCGGCGGGGGTGTCAGCATATCCCCTGCTGTGCGCAGGGCTACCATCCCTGACAAAAAATACAACATGCACCTCGCGGCTATATTTGGATCATACGCGGCCATCGCTGTCAAGTGGTTTTGACAGGGACGGCGGGGGTGGTGGCGCGTGGCCTGCTGTGTGCAGGCCCAGCAGATGCAATGATGGGCACTGGTGTTCGACATGGATGGCGGGGGCCGCGGCCTTCGCAAAGCGTTCCAGAACGCTCTGAGAGCGTCCGGGAACGCTCTGGAACGGATCTATCCTTGTCCCCCGTCCGACTGGGGGTCGCAAAACCAAAATCTCAGAACAATGCAGCGGATTTCGAAAACTCTGAACCCAAAAACGTGTTCATTTCTTGGGTGGCGTTTTCTTACTTCCGTCCCCTTCCGCCGCCCTTCCGTCGGATTCCGCCCGCGGAGGCGCCTCGTTTTACTTTCGCCGACCTTCCGCTGCCCTTCTGCCGCCTTCCGCGGCGGAGGAGATAACAGCTTCTTCGATCCTCGACGCCGAGGCCCTTTTCGGAACGCCTCGAGGTGCACCACCCCCCGGAGCTTCGATCCTCGAGGTCGGTCTCCGGGGCCTGTGTCGGTCGCCCCGCCCCCCCGGGGCCGCGCATGCAGCAGACGACGCGTCGCCGGATGCCTGAGGAGGTCGGAGCGTCCGAAGGCACGCCCGACACGACAGGAGGAGGAGGAGGAGGAGGAGGAGGAGGAAGGAGGAGGAGGAGGAGGAGGAGGGGAAGGAGGAGGAGCAGGAGGAGGAGGAAGATCGGCCCGCCGAGGGAGCGGCCCGAGGATGCCTGAGGATGCCTGAGGATGCTCGAAGATGTGGCGGCCTCCAGGATGGCGAACGAAGGTCTGGGTTGGCTCAAGATGGCCCCCGGCGCGGCCCGGATGCAGTTCCAGGGTTCTCCCCTCTGCCTTTTCGCTCCCGGGGGGGGCTTCCAAGTGCGCAGGGGTGGCCCAGGAGAGCCGTGAGCGGGGCAGAGGAAGCTCCCCGTGGGGAGAGGAGGAGAGCGAAGAGCTGCCGACGGCGACTGGCATCTCCTTGCAAGTTCAGAGACGGAGCACCCCCTCGCTCCAATCCACTACTGCGGTGGGTATCGTGCAGCGTGCTCGCTCTGCTCGCCCGTCGGTGCTGCCGCAGTGGCGGCCCACTCGTGGAACGTGGCCGGGCCAGAGGTGCGCTCGGCACGCTCCTGTGAGCGGGCGGCCCGCCGCAATGCCTTCTGCGAGGCGGGGAGCTGACTATCCATAGACCCACCGCCTGGGGGAGCCGACGTCCTGTGCGCCCAGCGGTGGCTGCGGATACATGCTGGCCCCCAGGGGGCCGCGCATGTCCATACAGTAGAGGCCCGACCACGAGAGACCTTCCTCCAGAAGCCCAATCCTGAGACCCCAGGGCGTCCATGGATTTGGGGCGTGGGAACGTCACGCTTTCCATGGCAAGCCATCGAAACCCAAGAAACCCAGGGCACCGTGGCGGCAAGCAAGGTGTTTCTTGGTATGGGCCCCCACTGTGTCCATATCCATCGCCTGCCAGGGCCCCTCGGGCGAAGGCAGAATCGAGGCAACATGGGACCGACATAGATATCGGAAGCGTCTGAGAATCGGCGGGTTTGGAGGATGTATCGGGCGCCGCGGCGGATTGAGAGCGTTCCAGAGCGCTCTGAGAGCGTTCTGGAACGTTCTGGAACGTGCTTTGCTCGATTCTAGGCTCGTCTGAGTCCCCGAAGATCGATCCCCCCAGCGGTGGGTATGGACGAATCCCTCCGCCCCGGACATCTGGTCGCTCCAATCTTCCCAATTGCGTGGGACCCGGAGGTCTGGACCACTCCCCCAAGGCCGGCTTCTCTTCCTGAACCGGTGTTGTGGACGGCCCCGAGGCACGGCGAGGGCCCCCGGAGGCCGAACACGGCCCAAGAACTCGCCGCCCTCCTTTTCGGACCTCTGGGGCCGCAGCCTGTTCCTCCGCCCCCTGCCAGGCTTCGCCCCGCCCTGCGCGCGCCCTCGCAGTGGACGGCGCGTGGGGCGTCATCGGATCCTCGGCGCGGAGCGCCAGGGCCTCCCGCCCCCCGCGGCCGCGGCGAACAAAAAGTGGGCACCACGAGGGACACCGAGAGGCACTGGTACCGCCATCCTCCCCGGGCCTCTCGGGGGGGGCGCGTTCTGCCCAGAACGCCGCGGCGAATCCCACCCTGAGATCCTGGCGTCCCAACCTTGCCGAGCCGGGCGGCTCAGCCCTTGTGCGGGCCCCGGAGCCCCCTCGCAGATCGATCCCGCTCGGAAAATGACGCAGACAGGTGGTGCCCAGGAATCTGGGCGTGATTTGTTTACGCTGTTGCAGTTTTTCGTCGCTACGTCGGATCTCAGGGAACGATGGCGACGAGGGCCTCCGAAGAGGCCCAATTGGAGGCAAAGCGGGGCGAGGTTAGCGGTATCGCCTCCTCTGTAGGATGCCTCTTAGATGGGGTCCGAGCAAACGGGGTCGGAAGATCTCGCCGAGATCGCCGATACATCGGCGATGCATCGCCGATGCATCGGCAATGCATCGGCCATGCACTGGCGACATCGACGATGCATCCGCGACGTCGGCGTGGAGAAAATGGGGCCCCACATCGAGCCACATCGCCGGTGCATCGCCGATGCATCGCCGATGTATCGGCGGTGCGGCGTGATCCTCGGACCCCATCTACCCCGACCCCATCTAGGAGGCCGAGATCCTCTTCCTCATCTGAGGCACTTGCCTGCCCGGGCGGGGGCGACTGCTGCGCCTGCGCAGCTAAACTAGTGCGCCTGCGCGCAGCCGAATTATCGTGCGGGCCGCTGGGACGAAAAAGTCGTGCACGCTCCGCATCGCGGCCTCCTCTCCGTGCCGCGCGGACCAAATGGCAGGCGACGCGAAGCACCCCTCTGCACACCTCCTGACAGGAAAAGGATCGCCTGTAGGCTGACGGATGCCTTCCAGGTGGTGGCTGCGGCGCGGCTGGTGCTCCTCCTCCTCCTCCTCCTCCTCCTCCTCCTCCTCCTCCTCCTTCCTCCTCCTCCTCCTCCTCCTCCTCCTCCTCCTCCTCCTCCTCCTCCTCCTCCTCCCTCCTCCCTCCTCCTCCTCCTCCCTCCTCCCTCCTCCTCTCCTCCTCCTCCTCCTCCTCCTCCTCCTCCTCCTCCTCCTCCTCCTCCTCTCCTCCTCCTCCTCCTCCTCCTCCTCCCCCTCCTCCTCCTCCTCCTCCTCCCCCTCCTCGCGGTGTGAGCCCGCCGCCGTGCCCCTGGGCACGCTGCGGCGTGGCAGCCTGCCGAGTGCTGCCTGGTACGGTCGGGGCGTTGCCCTAAGGAACCCTAAATAAGGAACGAAGCCCCTTTTGTCCCAACAGCTAGACTTCGATTTCCTTTGGGAAACCTTAGGGGAACCTAAGGCAAACTGCACAACAATCAAGGAACACCGAGCCCCTCCCCAACGAACATGTTTCCTTTTTCAGCGCTCCGACTGTAGGGTTTCTGCAAGATTCTGAGAGGGCCCCCCCCCTTTCCCAGTTCACGCTTGCCTGTGTGAACCGCCCCCTCTCTCCCGCGGCTCCTCGCGCGGCCCAGCAGTTCCGTTGGGCTCGCCGAGGCGTCCACGGTGCCCAGGATGGCTTGCAAGGCAGCTCAGGCAGACCACCAAGGCGGCTGATATGGCCCAAGATGCCAGATGGCACCAACACGGCCCAAAACGACCTCAAGACGACCCAAGAGGTTAGGCAGCGCAAGAGAGCTTTCACAGGACGTTTACTGGGGCCCGAACAACATTGAGTCGCTAACCCATTGCTGATTTGCAGCAGATGTTCACGTTCGCACCTCTTCGGGCTTCCGTCAGTCCAAGACGGCCCGAGGTGCCTCCACGATGGCCCCAAGACAGCTCAAGACCCAAGAGCTCAGAATGTCTCAAGTGATTAATCAAAAAAGGATCCCTAATCCTCTGAGAGAGGACCTAAGTCAGGAGGGACCAAAACATTAAGGATAGGAGGTCGTGTCTGCAGATGTATCGAAACAGACCGCCCAGAAGTATCATCCCGAATACAGACGGGGATCTACATGAGGCCACGTCTTCATCGTGCTGTCAAGGTTAGGGGTTCTTGTGTGCTCGACGACCAAGAGATCCCCACGACGATCCGTCAGGACCCCAGTATGGCCCCGAGACGGTCCAGAGAGGCCCCAAGACGGATTCCGTAGGCGCAAGAGCGCCCCCAGTCGGCACCAGGAGCGCCCCAAGAGTCCCCGAGAGGCCCCCCAGTTGATGGGCCGATTTTCCACCACCACTACCATAGGTAGGAGAGGGAGAAGGATGAACAGGAGGAGGAGTAGGAGGAGGACCTGCCCATGCTCCCTTCTTCCCCGTCCTACCTATGGTAGTGTTAATGGAAAATGTTCCCATCACAAGTTGCCCCCGAGAAGCCTCCAAGAGGCCTCAAGAAAGGAAGAGGAGTCAAGAAGAAGGCAAACATACGATGAACACAAGGAGACATACCCCGGCATGACGCGAAAGAGCGTGCCACATGTTAGGGCGCTTCCAAGCCTCCAGGCTCGTGGTGCCACACGCTACGGCCTGCTGTGCGTTCCTGGAACAGTCGCCACCAGGAGCACTGGGCTGGCAAGGTGGAGGGACTTGCCGCAAGCAGCTGGATAAACCATAATCGACCCGCAATTTAATCTGCCGGTGCAGATCGGCGGGGCGTCTGTAAATAGATTTGCTGATCGAGAGAAGGAGAGACAAGGAGA